CAACAATAGGAAGATCAACAGAAAAAGAGTAACACATGGAAACTGAACCATACCCTCCTGGAGAAAGACTGGGTAAGAGAAGAAATAAAAATAGAAATTCAAAAATTCTTTGAGTCAAACGAGAATGAAAACACAACATACCAAAATCTATGGGACACAGCAAAAGCAGTGATTAGAGGCCAATTTATAGCAATACATGCACACATCAGAAAAGAAGAAAGAGCCAAAATCAACACTTTAAACCAACATCTCCAACAATTAGAAAAAGACCAGCAAAAAAAGCCCTCAGTCAACAGGAGAAAGGAAATAATAAAGACTCGAGCAGAAATAATTGAAACAGAAAATAGAAGGGCAATAGAAAAGATCAACAGGACCAGAAGTTGGTTTTTTGAAAAGATCAACAAAATTGACAAACCACTGGCAAATTTAACAAAGGAAAAGAGGGAGAGAATACAAATAACATGAATAAGAAACAAAATGCGTGACATCACAACAGAACCAACTGAAACAAAAAAGATAACAACAGGATACTATGAAGAAATGTAATCCAACAAATTTGAAAATCTGGAAGAAATGGACAGATTTCTAGAAACACATCATTTACCTAAACGAACACAGACTGATGTGGAAAAGTTGAACAGGCCCATCACAAAAGAAGAAATTGAACAGGTCATCAAAAAATTACCAACTCAAAAAATTCCTGGCCCAGATGGTTTAACTGGAGAATTCTACAAAACATTCAGAGAAGAACTGATAGCAATCCTACTCAAACTGTTCCAAAACATAGAGAAGGATGGAATCCTCCCTAACTCATTTTATGAAGCAAGCATAACCTTGATACCAAAACCAGGCAAAGACATCACTCAAGAGGAAAACTACAGACCAATATCCCTCATGAATATAGATGCAAAAATCTTCAACAAAATCCTAGCCAATAGACTGCAAAAAAATATCAAAGAAATCATTCATCATGACTAAGTGGGGTTCATGTCAGGTATGCAGGGATGGTTCAACATTAGAAAAACAATCAACGTCATCCACCACGTAAATAAAACAAAAGAGAAGAACCACATGATCATATCAATTGATGCAGAAAAGGCATTTGATAAAATCCAACACCCATTCCTGATCAAAACTCTCAGCAAAATAGGAATAGAAGGGACATTCCCCAACATATTAAAGGGCATCTATGCAAAACCAACAGCCAACATTATTCTCAATGGAGAGAGACTGAAACTATTCCTGTTGAGAATAGGAACCAGACAAGGATGTCCGCTATCACCACTTCTATTTAACATTGTACTGGAAGTCCTAGCCAGGGCCATAAGGCAAGAAAGGGAAATCAAATGCATCCAGATTGGTAAGGAAGAAGTCTAACTATCCCTATTTGCTGATGATATGATCCTATACCTAGAAAACCCAAGAGACTCAGTCAAAAACCTACTGGAACTAATTGAAATTTCTATTCAGTTCCTTTGCCCATATTTTAAATTAAGTTGTTTGTCTTTTGTTGTTGAGTTTCCTGAGTGCTTTTAAGAGCACTCAGTGTAGTATATGATGACAGTGATTCCTTAGCTCATCTTTAAAACATCACTTTCCTCTTCTTTCATGCCATATTATCTCCTTTTTAAAACAATCAGCATTCATTATGTAGAAAGAATTATTTTGTTTGCTTAGGGGGTTAAAAGAGTGAACCGAGGGAAAGGGAGAGAAGGATGGTAACATTAATGAGTAGTAGGATAAGTCTTGTATTTGTATTGTAGGATGTACTTTTGTGTGTCTTGAATGCATTTGTAACTAGTTACTCTCTGGTAGATTTCATCCCATGGAGACACCATGTGCAACAAGGTAGAACTCTGTTCCACAGAGTTTTCGGTGGCTGATTTTTAGAAGTAGATCTCTGGGCCTTTGTTCCTAAGTGCCTCTTGGTGGAATGGAACCTCCAACTTTTGATTAACAAGGAGTGTTTACATGCCACCTAGGGACTCCAGTAATGCTGCCAAAATCCCATGAGATGTTAATACCATTCATCCCCAATTTACAAGTCTGAAATATTGTGAATAAAATAAATAATTTGCCCTTGGTCAAATGGCTAGTGATAAAAGTCAGGATTTAATGATAAATCTTTGACTTTAAAGCCTGTGTTCTTTCAAAAAAGAAAACTGACTACGGGGAAACAAATTGAGCTGTTGCAATTGTAAAATAAAAGGGTTTTATATATGTGATCCACCCCCCCACCCCCACCCACTCGCCCCCAAGGAGAAAAGAAAGGCAACGTTGAGGAATAAATGACAGTTGTCTACACTAGCTAAAGCCTAGAGCTTTTGTCAGGTTGGTTTAAGTAGTGATGCCTTAGGTAGTACATCACCAAAGCTCCTGATGTATGTCTAGTTGTCATAAATCAGGATCATGTTTCTCGGGTAGTGGCAGTGGTAGACCTGGAATTGTAGGGAAGATCATTTAGTACACTATAGGGAGCTCTGATAGCATAGTGCCTAACCAGAAGGCCGGCAGTTCAAACTCTCTAGCCACTCCTGGGAAGGAAGGTTGGGCAATCTGTTTCTGTAGTGATACTGCCTTGGAAACCCAAGGAGGGGTCGCTATGAGTCAGGTCCAACTTGATGGCACATAACAACAACATTACATTTGTAATATACCATTTTTCTAGTAGTATTCAAAGAGGGTCTCTGATCAGAAATGGAACTCAATGAATAGTATGTGAATAAGAATATATATGTATTTTTTTTAGGTTTAAATTAAGTGAGTTTTCAGTCTCTCAGATCTTTGGGGCATGTGTAGAATGTCTAATTAGATAGACATTGGCATAAGAGTTTTAGAGAAATGTGTTTTTTGGTTAACTGGATCTATTGTGAAAAATATCTTTTAGAAATGTGGAAAATCAGCCCAATTAGGATACTTCCACCATCATATGAATGGAGAATTTAGATTTTAGCATACCATACAAACCTAAGCACCTGTAAAAAGGGTGTAGCTCTGGTGGCGTAGTGGTTAAGGTATTAGGTTGATGGTTTGAACCTACCAATCGCTTCATGGAAGAAAGATGAGGCAGTCTGTTTGAATAAAGATTTACATCCAATCCAGTGGGGGTCACTATGAGTCGGAATTGACTTGATGGCAATGAGTTTGGTTTTTGTGAGTTTTATGCATGTATTATGTACTGGTTTGAGGAAATCACATGAAAATTTCCATCTGAGATTTTTCTTTTTTAATGCATATGTGAGACTTTTAAATATCTTTTCAAATCTAATTTGCCACACGTTTCTAAAATGGAGTTGTTGTTAGGTGCTGTTGAGTTGATTCTGACTCATTGGGGCCCCATGTACAACAGAACAAAACACTACTCGGTCCTTCATCATCTTTACAATCATTGCCATACTTGAGCCCATCATCGCAGTCACTGTGCCAATCCATCTCATTGAGGGTCTTCCATTTTTTTGCTGACCCTCTACTTTACCAAGCATGATATCCTTCTCCAGGGACTTCTCCCTTCTAACAACATTACGGTTTTGATCACCTAAAGCTACTCTAACAAAAATATACCACAAATGGGATGGCTTTAACAAACAGGGATTTATTCTCTTAATGTTTTGGAGGGTAGAAGTCTGGGTTCATAGTGCCAGCTCAGGGGCTAGGTAAGCCCCTTGACCTTAGGCTTCAGCTCTGCCTCTTGCTCCAGACCACTGAAGCTGGAGGCTTTTCTTAACTCAGGCAGCTGCTGGCTGCTGAGCCTGGCAAACCCAAGGTTGACAAGTAAAACGGCACAGTCCCAAGATTATCAAACAACACAGCAGGTCACTATTTCAAGTCCAGAAGAAGTCCCCACATCAGCAGGGTGTGGCTGGCTGCCAATGAAGACTCAGCCTGTGCAGGGTCCAAGCATGCCAAAAGGCTATAGAGACCTTTCTTAAAACTTCCCATTATATACTGGGGGCTTTAGTGGCATAGTGCCTAAGGCATTTGACTGCTAACCAGAAGGCTGGCAGTTAAAACCCGCGAGCCACTCCTCGGAACGAAGACTGGGCAATCTACTTCTGTAATGATACTTTTTCGGAAACCCAAGGAGGAGTCATTGCAAGTCAAATTGACTCGATGGCACCATTTCTTTTCTTGTCTTTTTTCTTTCAGTTAGACTGAAAGCAGACCACATGCCTAAGCTGCTCCAGTAGATTCCACCATGGAGCTGATTGCCAATCTCTTTGTGGGGAATAACTACATCCAGCTGCCCAGCTACTCAAAACCAGTCCCAGCCAAATTGACACAAAACCTTAACTACCACAATGAGCAAAGTATGAGAGACAAAGTCTGGCCATTTTTACTTCTAAGGAGCATTCTGGCTATACTTCCTCCAAGAGAGATTTGTTCATTATTCTGGCAGTTCATGTTATTTTCAGTGTTCTTCATCAACACCAGAATTTAAACGCATCAGTTCTTCTTTGATCTTCCTTATTATTTGTCCAGCTTTCATATCCACATGAGGCTATTGAAAATACCATGGCTTGAGTCAGGTGCACCTTAGTCTTCAAAGTGACATGTTTGCTCTTTAACGCTTTAAAGAGGTCTTTTGCAGTGGATTTGCCCAATGCAATATGTTGTTTGATTTCTTGACTGCTGCTTCCATGGGTTTGTAGATCCAAGTAAAATGAAATCCTTGAGAACTTCAATCTTTTCTCCATGATGTTACTTATCATCCAGTTGTGAAGATTGTTGTTTTCTTTATGTTGGTGTAATACATACTGAACCCAGTAATCTTTGCTCTTCATCAGAAGTGGAATTAGACCTAGGTTTAATATTATAACAGATATTTTATGCCCTAGAGTTAATTCCATAAAACTGTTTAATCATCTCTGTTAACCACTCTTCTTTCATGTTTCTAGGTTATTGAATCTTTGGGAATTATTATCTATAAAGCACTGGACTATGGTTTGAAAGAGAATGAAGAAAGAGAATTAAGCCCGCCCCTAGAGAAGCTCATTGATCTTATGGCCAATACAGTAGAAGCTGATGGTTGCCATGATGAAGGCTATGAGGCTGCGGATGAAGGCTTAGAAGATGAATATGATGAAAAGAGAAAAATCTCAGCTATTCGGTCATACAGAGATGTCATGAAGGTAAAGCAACAGCTTATATGTAGTACTTGTTTCTTTCCAGAGGTGTTATTCTATTTTTTAAAAAATGAGTGATGATTGCAACAATTGATAGTAGACTTTTTCAGTTCTCAGACTTACAGTTATTAGTGAAATGAGTCAGGAACTGTGATTCATTCACACCTCTAAGTAGCCTTCTATGATTGAATCATGAAGTTCCTCTCTCATTTTCTCTTTCCTTCCTCCTTCCTCCCCTTTCGTCCTTGTCTCCTTCTCTCTCTCTCTCCTCTCTCTCTCCCTCTCTCTCTCCCTCTCTCTCTCTCACACACACACACTCTGTCCTAAAGGGTCTCTATGAATAGAAATTGACTTGATAGCAATGGTTTTGTTTTTTTTTTTTCTCTTTTGGTAACTGTGATGTGAGAAAAGGATGTGGCACTCTGCTTCTGTAAAGATTTACAGCCTTGGAAACCATATGAGGCAGTTCTGCATTCTATAAAGTCACCATGAGTTGGAATTGACTTGACAGCAGTGGTTTTGGTTTTTGGTTAAATATGAGTGTATTGGTATAGATCTCTTTGGGTTTATTCTGCTTAGGCTTTTTTGAACTTCTTGGATTTTTAGAGCATAGTGCCTAAGGCACTTGACTGCTAACCAGAAGGCTGGCGGTTCAAACCCACCAGCCGCTCCTCGGAAGGAAGATGGGGCAATCTACTTCCATAGTGGTACTGCCTCGGAAACCCAAGGAGGGGGTCACTATGAGTCAGGTCCGACTTGATGGCACATAACAATAACAATCCTTAATTAGTTTGGGATGTTTTCTGTCATTATTTCTTCAGTTATTATTTCTGTCCCTTTGTCTTTTACATCTCCTTCTTGAATTCCCTTGATACATATATTAAGTCTCTTGTTTTTTCGTATTTCCATTAACTATAGTTAGCTTTCTTGGGCCTCTATTCTTGTTGTTCTTCAGCATGTGTAATTTTAACTCATTCTCTCATTTGCTGATTCTTTCTTCTGCATGATTATATCTATTGGTAAATCCTTGTATTGTGTTTCTCATTTCATTATTGTCCCATTTGAGTTGCAATATCTTTTTTAAACGATTATTTTTGTTCATTGTTTTCTTTCTTTTAGCTCTTGGTCCACATTTTTCTTTAGTTCTTTAATTATGTTTAATGTAATTTTATTGAATTCTTCATTGTTTCCATTATTTGGTTACACCTTGAAGGTAACTTGGTCATTTATTTGTATAGGTCATTGTTTCTCTGTCCTTTGTGTGGCTTATGGTTTTTGATAGAAACATTGTAATTTTCAAGGATGTTGTGCTCCCAGTATTTGGTATTTTTGCCTATACTGCTTCCTGCAAGAAACTCTTAGTTGAGTAAAGCCTTCAGCCTTAGCTTTCTACTTCTCCCTCACTATGATATTTCTTTCTCTGTGCCTCATATAATTGGTATTCAAAAGTTCCAGATTTCATTTTTCAACTTTGACTCTCTCCCAAACACACGAGAGAGTACTCTGCAGTCTCTTCATCCACCCACCAAGGGAAATATCATATAGTAATCAATATGTACACCAGAGAAGGGAAAGGAATAATAACGAATCCCCTCTTTCTCTTGTTATTACTGCTTTCCCTTCTCTGTTTCTGCAATCATATTCTTAGTTCAATCATATTCTTATTCTTAGTTTAGCATCTCATGTAAAATGGAAAGAATAATATTTGGTTGAGTTTTTTAGATTGATTGGATAACAATTATTATGAAGTATCTAGTGTAGTACTTGGAGAAAAGAATAAATACTTTGTAGGGCTTACTATGTGCCAGGCACTATTCTGGGTGCTAGGGGTATAGCAATAAACAACATACATGTGTTCCCTACCCTCGTGAATCTTAATTCTAATAGAGAGAAACAGACTATGCCTACTCCTAACTTATCAACCAACTTGTTATCCAAAAGTTCGAATTTAACAACAGAAGTAAAAAATCTACTATTCACGTACTTGGTGTATTAACAAAGAGGCTGGCATGGCATCATTGACTGCAGAGTGTCCTTTCCCTCAAGTAGGGTCTGCGGGCAACCTCTTAAGAATCTGGACCATGCTGCCCTAAGCCCTCCGCTGTCTTTTGCTGATTGAGTCGCCATATCCATTTGCTGCTTGGATATGGCCTCTGTGCCTAAAGCCTCCAGGCAGACATGCAGCCAGCACTGACCCCGTTGGATGCCTACTCTGGGTTCCTAGCTCCTATGCAGCTTAAGGCCCTGTGTCTCAAAATTCTTGTTGGGTTGGAAGGGAGGAAAGAAAGAGGCATCAGAGAGGATGCTTAGAAAAAAATGCATGCAAGTTTAATGATGTATCAAGGTGAGCCAAACTGGACCTGAAGCATCTGCCTCAATGAGGTCAGGTGTGTGGCCAGCTTCCCAACACCCTTACAGGGAGCTCTGAGGCTCAGTGACTCTACATGCCCAAATGGCAGAGAAGGATCCGGGATCATGAATGCAGTGCATGCAAAGTTGAGAGTAGAGCCCTGGAAGCAACTCTGCAACGTAAGTCCTGACCCGTCAAAGGAGAAAAGTGAAATGGTTAAGCTGTGGCCATCCACTTACAGAGTCTGGCTTTAACAATCTTTGTCTCTTCCAAGCTTCCTTCTCTGCAGAGGAGTAATCCACAGCTCGTCTTGTCACAATGATGAGCACATCAATAAATCTTAGCTGTTACTTCTTTGATCTTATTTTCTAAGCTGAAAAAATTGGACACATGGATGCTCTGAAAACAGAAAAAAATAAAATCCTTCATTTTCACCTAACACCCTTGTCTTTGGAATCTAACCATGTCTATAAGTGAGGAGTAGGTTATAAAAATGTCAGACATACACACATTTATATAATTTTTTTCTGGCTAATTCCAGGACTCTTTGCCACTGTTAGAGATCAAAAGAAGTTGTTGGCACAAAAACATGTTAGAGAAAGAACTTGTGCTTCCTTTAAATTAAGAATAAAAATGTGTAAAATATTTTTATTTTAGTTGAAATATTTATTTTTGTTGATATTCATATAATCAATTAAGTGGGGAACTTTAAGAATTAAGAAAAATAAATATTTTATAGAACAACAGTAAGTGTTAAGTAAAAATTACTCTTTTTTAATGCAAAGATCACTCTTAAAGATTATTTTGGTATCTATAAATATGTCTCTGAAAAGTTTCACTCATTTAACATTACAAACCAAAAAACCAAACCCACTCCCATCGAGTCGATTCTGACTCACATCAATCCCTATTGGGTTTTCAAGTCTGTAAATCCTTACATGATAGATTGCTTCATCTTCCTCAAGTGGAGCTGGTGGATTAGAATCACTGACCTGGTTAGTAGCCAAGTGCCTTACCCACTAAGCTACCAGGGCTTCTTATTTAACATTAGACAGAAAGAAATTAAGCGAACTTTTGTGAGGTATGTATTACAGACCAGGTGTTTACCTCCTCCACTGCCAGCAAGTCAGTTCTAACTCATAGTGACTCTCATTGGATTTTCAAGGCAGTAAATCTGTATGGAAGTAGATTGTCCCATCTTCCTTCCATGGGGTGGCTGATGGGTTTATACTGCCAACCTTCAGGTTAGCAGTCAGATGCCTTAGGCACTATGACACCAGTGCTCTTTGGCCAAATATTTAGGGCCATACTATTCCATTTACTACCTTTGTGAAAACTAGCAAAAGACTTTCTTCAAAATGCTTCATTTTCACCTGTAAGACCACCATTGTAATAAACACACTAATTTGTGTTGTTTGTGTTGTGAGAAGTGTCTCTATAGGTGTGATATCCTTGTGAACAGTCTGCACAGGTGAAATCCTCTTAGTGCAGACAGCAGCACTGAATATAGCTTGGTGGATTCTGAGTCTTTTTAGTAATCCACACTCCCTAATAGGCAAGGGAATGCAAATAAAAAGCAATACAATTTTATAACTATTTTGCAAGTAAGAATTTACTTTTGTTAAAATTGTGGTAAGTTGCATTGTTGGTGGGACTGTCAAATGATACAACCACTGTGGAAAGCAGCATGGTGATTCCTTAAAAAGTTGGAATTAGAAATACCATTTGATCGAGCCATTCCATTACTAGGTATATATCGTAAAGAAGTGAGAGCTGGGACAAGAACAGATATATGCACACCCATGTTCATTGCAGCACTATTTACAATAGCTAAAAGATGGAGACAACCTAGGTGCCCATCAACAGAAAAATAGATAACCAAACTATGGTACTGCTTGAACAGTTTCTGTCAGAAAGATCAGCACAAGGCCGGACCCCATGAAGCGGAGGTTAAAGATGTCCCAAATGTCCAAACTACCGTGCCACTCCATCATTTCAGACATTAACTCCTCCTCCTCCTCCTCCCAGTAATTTTCCCCATCTTAAGGTTCTGTATTTCACTGTAGCGCCTCACAGAACTCACAGACACCCAAGGGATCATCTCATGTAGTAATGGTAGAGGCTGGCAGGGTCACGAGTCCCAGGTCAGTGAGAGGGTCTGGAGGATCCTCCCAGTTCTTGGGGTTTGATGAACCTCGATCAGCAGATCAGATGACAGCTGCTATCTCAAATCCAGGATTGAGATGAGGATGAGCCAAAACAAAGAACTGGAGCAAGAGGAGGGCAAACCTTTCCAGGAGATTCGTAGGTATACCCTCAAAGAAGCTAAAGGTGGTGATTTGAATTATACCCTCCAGCAAGGCAGGCCTCAAGATACATTCCACCTGTGTTGCTCCAACAGAAATAACCCAAGAAAATGGCTTTAACAATCAGCAACTCAAGGCAAATCCCACCACAGAGCTGATTGCCCATTATTATAGGGAACGACGACTACCAGCTGCCCAGTCAAGTTGACACCTGACCTTAACTACCACACCACCCCAAACAAGCATGTATAATAGAATTTACAATATATCACATAATGGAGGATAATGGCTAGAAGGGCCACATCAAGCGATTCACCTGAGGTACATACACACAGTGGCATACTACGTAA